ATTTCCATAATACTCTTCTCCAGGAACTAATCAAAGTGTTGGACGGGGTGAAATGGCGATCAATTAAGTCTCAGATTTTCACCAAACTCGGCCAGTATTTGAAAATCTAGAGTACACGTCGCTTTCATGTCGTGTATAAAGTAAACTATGAGGTTTTTGTTTCGTTGGGTAGATGGATGGTATGTTTTTAGATTTTATCGTTCTTCTTTGATGTTATCGTTATTATTTTTAGTGCTTTGTATATGTGTTAATGACTGTAGAACGTTTTGGTCAAGGAGATGTTTACATAGCTATGTTGGAAAAGGAAATTTTGACAGCCTGGGGGGGGGGGGGGGGGGGTGGGGGGGGGGTTGGGGAATCGTGACAGTCTAATGTGGGGAGGGAAATTTAAACAGCCTGATGTGTGTGTGGGGGGGGGGAATCGTGACATCCTCTTGTGGGGAGGGAAATTGTGACAACACACCCGCTTGTTTGCTGATTGTGTAGAGTTCAGTGTTTCTTTCAGATGTTCTTTTCTGGGGTAGGGGGGTGTCTTTGGAAACTTTCGGTTGGTGTGTGTGGGGTGGGGGCGGATTTAAATTTCCAAGGGGTTTGGGGGGCGGCCACTGTTTGAAGTATATATTTCCAAAATAATATTTTCTATATTTCCTTGTGTGGGGGGGGGGGGGGGGGAGGGGGGGGGTGGAAGGGAGGATGGAGGTGGTGGATGTGCTACTTCTCCCGAAAAGATGCCTGAAGGAAACTCTGGTAATGTTACCGCCATCTCTATCGATTATACATAATACAGTTTTAAAACCCGAACTTCTTTTGGCGTCACTTTGTACCTTCGAGTCGGCTGTGTCCTATCTTGTCCCCTCAAACTACCCTTCCTCCACCCTTCCTCCACCTTTCCTCCACCCTTCCTCCACCCTTCATCCACCCTTCCTCCACCCTTCCTCCACCCTTCCTCCACCCTTCCTCCACCCTTCCTCCACCCTTCCTCCACCCTTCCTCCACCTTTCCTCCACCCTTCCCCCACCCTTCCTCCACCCTTCCTCCACCCTTCCTCCACCCTTCCTCCACCCTTCCTCCACCCTTCCTCCACCCTTCCTCCACCTTTCCTCCACCCTTCCCCCACCCTTCCTCCACCCTTCCTCCACCCTTCCTCCATACCTCTCTCTCCAGTCATCAACAATTACCGTCTTCTGATGGTGACGTCATTACAGACACATTCATATTATACCCCCACCCTTATACAAACTTGCCTCTAAATTTAACCTTAAATCTAACGGCTAAATCAACAGTATTAGATTTAATCATCAAGATGATTGGAACAAAATAAACCGGGAGTGATCTCCCCTAAACTTTCTCGAATATTCTTATATAAAATAACAGGGGATTGGAACTCGGGCTATAGACATGATTTTTAATCCATTTTAAATACTTAAAGTTTTAAAAATAGAATAAAATCTCGTAGACAAATTAATTGCACACCAAGTGAACGCGAAATAAAAAAGCGCATAATAGTGCGCAATATTATTATTACTTTTAAAATTCACATTAGTTTTTTGAGAAATCGGAAGTAGCGTAAAGTACTACTTCCAGTCAACGGAAATGACTCAAAATTTAATAGAAGGTAGAGAATTAGATCTTTTACTTACGTATGAAATTTCATTTATCTATCTGAAATAGTACTCAAGTTATAGGCTTTTGAAAAATTCAAAGTAGAAAAAGTACCACTTCCGGTTGTCGGAAATCGCTCAAAAGTTGATACGGATCTACGATTTTGATAAAATACTTATATATGAAATTTCATCAACCTAGCTGTAACGGTACTCAAGTTATCGTGTTTACACACGGACACACACACACACAGACACACACACACACAGACACACGGACAAGATTGCAAAATTATGTTTTTCCGTATCAGTGAGATGCAAAACGTCGAGATTTGCAAAAATCTCGATTTTTTTTTTTTTGCACGATTACAAGACTTTCTCTATACTTCGTATATACGAGAAAGTAAAAATGGAATCAGCGTTTGCAGCAGGATATGACGTCATCCGCGGTCACATTATGATCCATCACGCCCAATGTGACGTCATAACCACGTGGTTTATTGGTCGAACTGATTCGGCGCGAGCTAAAATACGAGATTAAACGGCTATTATTAGCTCACCTTTCAGACGAGGTTAGGTTACAAAGATGGGTTAGTCTGGGAGTCGTCAGATCAGTATCTGTGGTTAAAGGTTAGGTTAGTGATTGTTTAGGAAGAGATTAAGTTACACACATTTGCTAGTCTGGGAGTTTCAAGTTTAGCCGTCAAGATGGGTGGTGTAGGAATTAATGTTGGCCTATTTGTACCACGCTAAAGCTTAAAATTTAGAGCAATGGTTAAGCAAAACCGCCGTATAATGATGTGACTTTGAATGCGTGGTCAGCTTAATTTTGGGGTGTGGGAATGAAAAGGTTTTGAATTGGTTTAAAAGCGTATAATTAAACATAAGAAAGCTATTGACTGCTAACCCGAAAGTCTCGAGTTTCAAATTAGTAGAGTGTCCCTTAGTCCACCCAGCTCTGATGTGTACGTAACACACGTTGCCGACCACAAAATCCCTTCATTTGCCTAGGTCTCTGAAACAGTCATACTCTACTTCATCTGCCCCGAGTATTTTGGGCACAAACGGCAAAAGATTATGATGAATTAAACACAGCATGCTGTTGTTAAGTTATGACAAAAATTTTTACATACTTGTGTTACTATACGTATTAAATATATTCTCTGGGGGTAATCAAATTGAATTTGAATGGATGTATTGTTTTACTGAAAGTACGTTAAAAATGTAACAAGAGTTTCAATAGTTTCATTTCATATTGCTGACATTTTTTTTTGGTAAAAGTATAGTTTTGCCGGCCATGATTAATTTTTCTATAGATTATAGACGGCAATCGGATAATTTGTGTTCTAAGTATTTCAATTTGGACGGCCATACGCGATGCTTAAAATTTGGACGGCCACGAACATTCTCTATGTTTGTACGGCCACCAGGGAAGTATGAACAATATGAATAGATTCCTTCTCTTTGATACACGTTTCCTGAACTAGACGAACCAATTAACCTTAACCAATCACATCAGTCACCGTTAACAGCCCACATTTCACTTAACTCTAACCTCACACAAGTTAACCTTTAACCAACCACGCACTGGTTAACTCTAACCAATCACATCCTCCCACCCATAATATTTCCGTGACCCCCCCCCCCCCCCCACTAAAGTTAATTGCCTGAAAGTCGTCGTACCACCGCCATCAACTCTTCCTCCAGTGACGTCATCACCAATTACCCGACTACTACAGCCCACATAGAGTTCTTCCCCTTTATGTGGCAATATAAAAATAGCCACACTAAAGAAAAAAAAAACTTAATTTTTCCGCTCCCCCCACCGTCACCTGTTGTGTTGACTGTTGACAAGCGTATCTTCTGCTTCTACTTCTATAATTGTGCGTCACCCACGTCCCCACCCCCACGTCCCCACCCCCACACTCCAGCCTAGTTGAACTTGCGAGTCATTGAACTTACAGTTCGAAGTAATAAAGTTTTATTTTTAGTATTTCAGTGCCATATTTCAAAATATCCATCTTTATTAGTAACCTTTTTTTTTTAAAAAAAAATTTCTTCTTAGTTTTCTGTATAGAAAAAGATGAATGGTTTATTATTCCCACAATTCGAATGTCCGGTCCTATTAAAAATGACCTACTGGTACCAATTAGACTCCACAATCGTACATTGCGTAATAGTGTTAGTCAACTTTATAAACTGATACATTTTGGGAGAAATGTTGTTTTTTACATGGAACAGCTGTCCTCACGATAACATCTCTGATTGTTACAGTTTTAATTGCTATGATTTAATTTTAATCTCGAATTGAATTGAATTAGATAATTACACTACCTTGGTTATTTCTTGTTAAAGTAAGTTTGAGCTGATTGGGCTGAAAATAATTTCCAGACTTTCTTAAGCTGCCCGTTAAACGATGATAAAAATGTAACTCTCGTTAGAACAATTTCGTGTTGTTTTAATTTACGAGATTTGCATCTATGGATGACATTTTCATGGGCGGTTGATTACAATGTTTCTTACGTCATGGATGGTTGATTATAATGTTTCTTACGTCATGGATGCTTAATTAGATACTCGCCTGTGACTTAGCAAATCAGCATAAGCTGGTTTCACAACAGCAATGAGACAATCATTACAATAACAGCATTGATGCAATCATTACAACAGCAGCTTTGATACAATCATTACAACAATAGCATTCATACAATCATTACAACAGCAGCATTGATACAATCATTACAACAGCAGCTTTGATACAATCACTACAACAATAGCATTCATACAATCATTACAACAGCAGCCTTCATACAATCATTAAAACAACAGCATTGATACACTCATTACAACAACAGCTTTGATACAATCATTACAACAGCAGCATTGATACAATCATTACAGCAACAGCATTGATACAATCCCCACAACAGCATTAATAAAATCAGTCGCCATACTGTTTCACCAGGAGAAAAAAGATGAATGTATAGCGTCAAGATAATTTCCACAAAATTAGCTAATGATATCTCCAAATCGATTGGGCTGGGAAGATTTATTTTGGTGTTTATTTCACCAGTATCTGCTTTAAAAAAAAAAAAAACTAAAAATATGAGAAGTGTGATATGTTCTGCCAAGATTTTGGTCTATATTAAAGCTATTCATCAATTTGTATTTGATTGCAGATCAATAAACTGGAAAAAGCTGTACGAGCTAGACGATAATATCATTGATTAACAGTTCGCTATAATGAATATTGGAATAAACTCGATGGATTTGATAATTTCATAGCCAGTGTTCAGTTATGAAGGTTGACCTTGGCCGTGGGGAGTGACCTAGATTTGATACTTTGTTGGCCAGTATTCAGTGATGAAGGTTGACCTTGGCCTAGGGGAGTGACCGAGAATGAACATGCAGATGGCCATGGAATTTTGTGGCCGCGAGTACAACCAGACCAACGAGACGACGCGACGGGAGAGGTTCGGGTTCGAGAACGTGTCGCGCCAAGACTTCATCCAGAACTGCACCAACATTCTCTTAGCCCAGAGCAGCAACGTCGGCCTCCACGTCATCCTGCCCTACAGCCTCATCTTCGTGCTGTCGGTGGTCGGGAACTCGCTGGTCATCTTGACCTTGGTCCGCCACAAGAAGATGCGGACCATCACCAACATGTACCTGTTGAACCTCGCCATTAGTGATCTGCTGTTGGCCATGTTCTGCATGCCGTTCACCCTCATCTCAATGATCATGTCGGAGTTTATCTTCGGGCAGGTCGTCTGTGTGCTTCTAAGATACGCCCAAGGTAAGGGAATCTGTGTACATTTAGGCCTACATGTGTGTAGGTCTGGTTTTGTGTACAATTACATAAGTGTAAATCTAGTTCTGTGTACATTTACATGTGTGTAAGTCTAGTTATGTGTACATTTACACGTGTGTAATTCTAGTTATGTGTACCTTTACATTTGCGTATTCCCTAGATGTGCATCAATCTAGATGGGCGTTCGTCCACATGTCTATATATCTTAATGTGTGTATATCTAGATGTGTATCAATCTAGAATGGACGTAGGTCCAAATGCGTGTATATCTAGATGAGTGTTCTATACTTGTTTGTATAGTTGTATGTTGATTCCTATTCTACGTATGGTATTCTCTACTTGTCTAGCTTTCATAAAGATACACGTGTCTCGTATTGTATGGTTTTATATTTGTTTAAGAAGGTACACATTTAATTGTACATTCTACACCACATACATATCATTATTATAACCCTAATTAATGTAATTTTTAGGTTGAATAAATACATTTTACCACATAACATGTTTAAAAATAAAATATGATTATGATTTGTAGAAATTAAGAAATCTTTCAAAATTTGCAAAAGTTGACCTAGAAGAGAAATGTCTGAAAGAAACATCTGGTCCCAAATCAATCAGATTTCTCTCTTCAAATGACGTAGACATCCGTTTCCGGTTCTAGAAAGTTGTGGCGTATCGCCGTGGTTCATTTCCCCTGAGACCGTACCAAGGTAACGTAAGCAACGGACAACAAACTCCTCGAGACTTTAACGAGATTACAACGAGAGTTGTCTGTCTTGCCACCATGCATTACCTCCCCTTAAGTCAAGTTTAATTACGATACTCAAACCAAAAAGCAACAATTAAATTGAAACGAACATGAAACCCCCTTTGTTGCACACGAGAAAACATGTACCCTGTCAGAGCATGTTCGTGTTTGCCATACCTGTGAAATTTATCGTCGTTGTACACAGAATACCCGTGTAGCTTTTTTTTAACTCAGCCATATATACAGAATATACAGAAATAAATATAACATTTGAAAGGTTATGTAGGATAGGATTTAAACATTAACGCAGGTTTAGATAAGCGGTTATGATTAGCATTAGCATGAGTTTCTTCAAGGACTTACTCTAGACAGCCCCCCCCCCCCCTCCTTAGAAAATAGAAACAAATAATAAATTCATATAGATAATTTATACTTTAATTAACCTTTGCTCCCCCATCCGAAAGTACTCTTCCGGAAATTTAAAATCTCCCCCCCCCACCCCTTTGAGAAAAACGTCTGAAAGAATCTCTGGTTAGCACCATAGTAACAATGTCGTAAAATTGTACAGACACATCTTATAGAGATCTTCTTCGTGGAGGCGGTCAGCTGTACAACATCTTGAGATGGTTGGCGTTCAGAGTACAGCATTTTTACAAGCGTGATGTCAGTTACACAACATTTTCAGAAGTGTCGTCACTTGTACATTTTTAGATAGTTGGTGTCAAGGACACAGTATTTTTAAAAGCCTGACGTAATTTATACATTTTGAGATTGTTGACGTGAACTCCACGCCAAACGTGACGTCAGGTATACATTTCGATGTACCGACAATATGATGAAAAGCTTTGTCAACCATGCCAAATAATGATGTAGCTAATAATTTTACCAGCTGTAGGCCTACATAAAGCTGAACACTGCTGCTCCATACACCAGCAACAGGTGAAATCTACTTAACCTGCAACGACAGTTTTATAGCGCAATTTTCTTTTCTTTTTAGAATTTCATATCCTTATTTTTTAAAAAAAATCTGCAAGACAACCAAATAGTATGCGTATTATAGAATAGGTACTAATACGCACTTCATATGTTAGTCAACCGCCCCCACCCTCCCTCTCACTCCCAGCTTCCACGAAACAAAACTCTCCCCAAGATGGCGTCTGTTTGTGTCTCGTCCTTTAGTATCGAGGCTGATTCTATCCAAAGTGTAACGTGAAGACGCTAATCGCTGAACAAGGGCCGGTAACTCTCGCACTTCAAAGTCTTGACCTAATGAGACGTGATGTCATATACCAGGGGAAATTTTCTTTGATACGATATCCTTTCATTGGCACCTAATGAACTCCTTAACCCGCTTCCTGAGTTCAGAGCAGGCCCCGGATGTATGAAATAATGGCGTCGGTTACTAAAACTAGTTAGATTTTTAGAAGTTGAGACTTGATTGAGTAAAGACTACACAGGGAAATTATTTTATCTGCCTCTGAAAACCATCTGTTAACGAAATGTTTAAAACTATCTTAAAATGTCCAAAAATAAATTGTCGTTGTATTTGGACATCTCACATAGACTTTTGTTTGTGGACCAAGGTAACAAATGTGTTCATCTTAGCTCTAAACTCACAAGCGCCCATGTATTTGGAATAAGCTCAAACAGCTACTCTGGCCTAAGCTCACAAAATTTCTCTGTATTGGGTGTAAGCTCATACATCTGTATTGGGTATAAGCTCATACATCTGCTCTGTATTGGGTATAAGCTCATACATCTGCTCTGTATTGGGTATAAGCTCATATATCTGTATTGGGTATAAGCTCATACACCTGCTCTGTATTGGGTATAAGCTCATACATCTGCTCTGTATTGGGTATAAGCTCATACATCTGCTCTGTATTGGGTATAAGCTGATACATCTGTACTGGGTATAAGCTCATACATCTGCTCTGTATTGGGTATAAGCTCATACATCTGATCTGTATTGGGTATAAGCTCATACACCTGTATTGGGTATAAACTCATACATCTGCTCTGTATTGGGTATAAACTCATACATTTGCTCTGTATTGGGTATAAGCTCATACATCTGTTCTGTATTGGGTATAATTTCATACACCTGCTCTGTATTGGGTATAAGGTCATACATCTGTTCTGTATTGGGTATAAGGTCATACATCTGTTCTGTATTGGGTATAAGGTCATACATCTGCTCTGTATTGGGTATAAGCTCATACATCTGTTCTGTATTGGGTATAAGGTCATACATCTGTTCTGTATTGGGTATAAGGTCATACTTCTGTTCTGTATTGGGTATAAGCTCATACACTTGTATTGGGTATAAGGTCATACATCTGCTCTGTATTGGGTATAAACTCATACATCTGTATTGGGTATAAGCTCATACATCTGTATTGGGTATAAGCTCATACATCAGCTCTGTATTGGGTATAAGCTCATACATCTGTATTGGGTATAAGGTCATACACCTGCTCTGTATTGGGTATAAGCTCATACATCTGCTCTGTATTGGGTATAAAATCATACATCTGCTCTGTATTGGGTATAAGCTCATACATCTGCTCTGTATTGGGTATAAGCTCATACATCTGCTCTGTATTGGATATAAGCTCATACATCTGTTCTGTATTGGGTATAAGGTCCTACATCTGTATTAGGTATAAGCTCATACATCTGCTCTGTATTGGGTATAAACTCATACATCTGCTCTGTATTGGGTATAAGCTCATACATCTGCTCTGTATTGGGTATAAACTCATACATCTGCTCTGTATTGGGTATAAGCTCATACATCAGCTCTGTATTGGGTATAAGCTCATACATCTGCTCTGTATTGGGTATAAGCTCATACATCTGCTCTGTATTGGGTATAAGCTCATACATCTGTATTGGGTATAAACTCATACATCTGCTCTGTATTGGGTATAAACTCATACATCTGTATTGGGTATAAACTCATAAATCTGTATTGGGTATAAGCTCATACATCTGCTCTGTATTGGGTATAAACTCATACATCTGTATTGGGTATAAACTCATACATCTGTATTGGGTATAAGCTCATACATCAGCTCTTTATTGGGTATAAGCTCATACATCTGCTCTGTATTGGGTATAAACTCATACATTTGCTCTGTATTGGGTATAAGCTCCTACATCTGCTCTGTATTGGGTATAAGCTCATACATCTGTTCTGTATTGGGTATAAACTCATACATTTGCTCTGTACTGGGTATAAGCTCCTACATCTGCTCTGTATTGGGTATAAGCTCATACATCTGCTCTGTATTGGGTATAAGCTCATACATCTGTATTGGGTATAAGCTCATACATCTGATCTGTATTGGGTATAAGCTCATACATCATCTCTGTATTGGGTATAAGCTCATACATCTGCTCTGTATTGGGTATAAGCTCCTACATCTGTTCTGTATTGGGTATAAGGTCATACATCTGTTCTGTATTGGGTATAAGGTCATACATCTGTTCTGTATTGGGTATAAACTCATACATTTGCTCTGTATTGGGTATAAGCTCATTCATCTGTTCTGTATTGGGTATAAGCTTATACATTTGTATTGGGTATAAACTCATACATCTGCTCTGTATTGGGTATAAACTCATACATTTGCTCTGTATTGGGTATAAGCTCATTCATCTGTTCTGTATTGGGTATAAGCTTATACATTTGTATTGGATATAAACTCATACATCTGCTCTGTATTGGGTATAAACTCATACATTTGCTCTGTATTGGGTATAAGCTCATACATCTGTTCTGTATTGGGTATAATTTCATACACCTGCTCTGTATTGGGTATAAGGTCATACATCTGTTCTGTATTGGGTATAAGGTCATACATCTGTTCTGTATTGGGTATAAGGTCATACATCTGCTCTGTATTGGGTATAAGCTCATACATCTGTTCTGTATTGGGTATAAGGTCATACATCTGTTCTGTATTGGGTATAAGGTCATACTTCTGTTCTGTATTGGGTATAAGCTCATACACTTGTATTGGGTATAAGGTCATACATCTGCTCTGTATTGGGTATAAACTCATACATCTGTATTGGGTATAAGCTCATACATCTGTATTGGGTATAAGCTCATACATCAGCTCTGTATTGGGTATAAGCTCATACATCTGTATTGGGTATAAGGTCATACACCTGCTCTGTATTGGGTATAAGCTCATACATCTGCTCTGTATTGGGTATAAAATCATAC